GACCAATGAACAGATACCAAAAGAAAAGAATGTCCACACCTTTATCTCAGCAGTTCTTCCAGGCATCTGTGGCTGCTCCGATCTTTCCCCCACGTGGTCTCACCCAAGATGGCGGCTCCTGGAGCAGCTGAGCATCCCAGACTAGAAAGCAATAGATTTTTTGCTTCTGCCACAAATTCCCCCAGCTGTGAGCCTTCCAACCTGCTAAGTATTCCTTTATATGTGGTTCAGAGTTCTGGGACCATCCCCTGAGACTGCTTGGTCAGGTATTCTGTGTTGTTGTTGACGGAGCTCTGTACTATATGTCCACCCGATCCACCATCTTGTTTGCTTTTTTTTTCAACCATTTCTTTTTGATGCAGTGATTCTGTGTATTCCTTTAATATTCTTTTGATACTTTCTGCATCATTCCGTATTTTTCCATAGAATCTGTCAATATTGTAAGTTGAGCCTTTAATTTTTTTCTCAGTTCTTTCTGTGTTCTTCCCTTTTGGTTTTCTAACTCCAGGTCTTTGCACATTTCTTTATATTTGACTTTGTCCTGTTGAGGTGCCCTTTGAATTTTTCTGTTCAGCTCTTTTACCTTCTTATTTCTTCCATTTGTTTTAGCATTTCTATGCTGGAGAGCAAATTTTAGAGTCTCTTCTAACATCCATATTGGCGTTTTCCTTCTTTCTTGTCTTCTTAATTAGTTTTTTCTTTTGGCTTGTACGATGTGCTGGACGTCGTCCCATAATGCTTCTGGTCTTCAGTCATTAGTTGTATCAAACCTGTTCTTTAAATGATGTGTGAATTCAGATGGGATATGTTCAAAGTCATACTTTGACTCTGGTGGACTTGTTTTCCATTTCTTTGGCTTTTCATATGGACAACTGATGATCTGTTCCACAGTATGCTCCAATCTTGTCTTGGCTGATGATATGGAGCTTTTCCACCATCTCTTTTTACAGATGTCGTCAATTTGACTTCTGTGTAATCCAGCAGATAAGGTCCATGTTTATAGGCCTCTTTTATGTTGTTGTTGTTGTTGTTTTAATGGTATTTGCAATGTAGAAGTCATTTGTCTTGAAAAATTTTATCATGCTATCTCCAGCAACATTTCTGTCATCAAGGTCATATTTTCCAACTACTGAACCTTCCTCTTTGTTCCTACCTTTGCATTTTTATCTATACATCTTGAATGGATGTTTTATCAATTTGAAACTGAAGAAGTTGGTAGAGTTTTTCAATTTCATCTTCACTGGCTTTAATGATTACTGTGTAAACTTGAATAATAATGGCATTAACTGGTCTTCCTGATAGGCATATGGATTTTATCCTATCACAAACAGCATTATACTTCAAAAGAAATCTATGTGTTTTTTTATGATGAATGTGAAATCATTCCTCTGATTTGTCATTCCTAACATAGTAAACCATGTAATTGTTAGACTCAAAATTGTCAATACCAGTCCATTTCAGCTCAGTAATGCCTAGTATATCAATCTTTATGCATTCCATTTCATTTCTGACAACTTTCAATTTTCCTAGATTCACACTGTACATTCCAATTCTGGTTATTAATGGATGCTTACAGCTGTTTCTCCTCATTTTAGTTGTGCCTCATCAGCACATGAAGGTGCAGAAAGCTTGACTCCATTCTTATCATCATGGTCGACTCTACTTTGAAGAGACATTTTTCCCCAGTAGTGTTTTGAGTACCTTCCAGTGGAAAGGCTCGTCTTCCAGGCACTCTATCTGACAATATTCTGGTGCTATTCATCAAGTTTTAATATTCACTATTCTGGTGCTATCTGACAGTGTTTCACCATTATTCATGAGGTTTTCTGTGGCTAAACATTCAGAAGTCGTTTTTCTTTCCTTCCTCCTAGTCTGTCTTAATCAGGAAGCTCAGCTGAGACCTGTCCACCATGGGTATACCCGGCTGGCATGTAAAATACTGGTGACATCACCTACAGCATCACAGAAACTCACACGCCACCACAATTGGACCAACTGGTAGAATAGTGGTGGCTTTAATATGAGGAGGCTTCAAAAGGGTCATGGAAAATGTGAATTAAAAGATAATGGAATATTTCCATGAACTTTTTGAAGCCTTCTTGTATAAACTGATTTTAGATTTGTGTTGGTTCACATACATGTGCTGAGTGTTATCCCCTTTTCTCTCTATTTGGAGTAAACCTCTTTCAGTTCCTCAAATACATGAAGCACTTACTCTTCCATATTTACAATCTTACCAAGCAATATCCCCACAGTCTGAAAAGCTACCCTATGCTCGATGTACAATTTCCTATTGTACTTATTCTAAGTCCTTTTTACTTTCATTCTCAACCTAGCTATCATTCTGAAAAAGCATTCCCTGATGCCTAAAATTCAGATTAATCCAAGTTTTGTCATAGTATTCTCAATGAATACTCACAGCATAATACTTAAACTGGCTAGAAGGTATTAAGGAGCTCTGGTAGCGTAGTGGTTACGAATTGGGCTGTGAACCACAAGGTCAGCAATTTGAAACTACCAGCTATTCCGTGGGAGAAAGAGGAGGCTTTCTGCTCCCATAAAGATTTACAGCCTCGGAAACCCTGTACAGGGTCACTATGAGTCGGAACCGACTTCACGGCACATAACAACAACAACAACATAATGTAATTGCCTAGTTTCTTCTTAAATGCTAAACTTTAAGAAGAAAGAGATCTAAGACTGGGTATCTTTTCTTCTGCATTATATATTTAGCACTTAGTATGACTGTGTTTACTCAATAATTGCTAACAAAGTACAAAATGAATTAATATACTTGGCATTGTAGGATAGGCACTGGACTGCAAACTGCAAGGTAGGTGGTTTTCAAACCCACTGCTCCTGGGAAACCCTATACAAGTTCGCTATGAGTTGGAATTGACTTGACATCACTAAACAACATCAGAACTATGCAAATTTAAATTAGCTATGATCTATGTACATACTGGCAACAGTATTTTATGATTAAGAAAATAGCAAATAACTTTAAGATCAATATAACCACAATTTTGCAACATAGTTGCAAAGTGTATTTTTTTTTTCTAAATATCATTTCATAAACTTTACTGTCTTAAAGGTAGGAGCAACTGAGGAAGAAAAAGGAAAACACATTAGCATATATATGTATATTTTATCAAAGAGAAACTACAGGTAAATAATACATTAATAAATTGTTTCCTTCATGTACTTAGAATGTATAAGAAATTCAATCAACTATAGAGTCTTGCATTTTCCAGGAAAAGAATTTGACAACTCTGTCAACAATTGATAAAATTTTACAAAATGCCCCAAGTTACAAAACAAAAGTTTCCAACTCTGAAGCAGTAGTGGCATCTAGGGATTTCTTGAATATTCAAAGCGCAGAGAATTGTGAGGCAGATATAGACATCTGTTACCTGTCTAATGTGCAGGAATACATCTTGGTGGCTTTGTCATTCACAAGATAAGTTCTTTCAAGAAACTCCATGGTGGTCAGGAAAAGAGCTTTTGTTGTTTTAACTCTGCCCAGGTGGATAGCCAAGCAGCTTCACAATTATTAACAGGCTTTCACAGGAGGAAAAAAAAAAAAGCACGTTTCTAGGACACACAGTAACAAGCCTCCCACATGGGTGTCTGGTAGGTCTGCTAAAATTACAGCCTCCTTGGAATATCACCTGGCCTCATTTTCTCATGCAAAGAATCCATTCCTGGGGAGATCTGTAGGTGGGTTGTACAAAGCATGTGTGTGTGTGTGTGTGTGTGTTTCCCATGCTATCTGATTCAATTGTGCTTTTAAAGAGGCAAAGATGCTCAAGGGTTATCTACAAATTGCTGATACAGGGGTTTGGCCTTCAAAGCACATCTGGGGAAACTGCAAACAGCTACCTTCTACGTACAATAGTCTCTCTCTCTTTGGTCTCTCCCACAACCTGAGAGAATTCCTCTTGGATTTTAGCTCAAAAATGACCTTTAAACAGCTGTTGGGATTTACTTATCTGCCCCTAGGGCCATTGTGGGAATTCCCTACTGCAGGGGAGAACAAGGGTCATTAGTTGCTGAAGTCTGTAATCTGAATCAGCTTCTAGTTCGGCAGCTTTGAATCCTTTTTGACAGGCAGGGGAAGGGCAGACTCAACTTCTATCCAAATAACAGTTCTCAGTCATGTAAGAATCACAGGGATCTGCTTTCCCCTTGGTCTTCTCCTCTGCTTTGAAACAAAGAAGTTCTATGGGAGCAGATCACACTATTGTGACTGGAACCTTTGGAGTTGTTCCTGAAAGATATTGCCTCAAACTCCAGCAATTGATATTTGACTTCATTGCAAAGCTGTTTCCTTCCCAAATCAGGCAAGGGACTATATATAGCTCAATGGCACCAGAGGGCCAAAGGGCAGGCATTTGTGTGGACTCCAAAGAGTCTCTGAGCCCTTAACAGGTTCATGTAGAGGGGTGATAGTAGAGGAAAGGAAATATATCCAGTCCTCATTTTCCTTCCTCTTCTGTTGATAAGTAAACTTCCAGCTAAACTTCCTTCAGGATAGTTGCTTGTTGTTGGATGCCAGTGATTTCATTTTCTAGTCATAATGACCCCATCAGGAACTCTGAAAGTGCAAGGGGCTAAAAGTCAGGCTGCTAACTGAACCCACCAGTTGCTCTAAGACAGAAAGATGAGGCAGTCTGCTTCTGTAGATTTGTTGTTATGAAGTGCCATCGGGTCAATTCCGGCCTATAGCGACCCTGTATAGGGTTTCTGAGGAGCAGCTGGTGAGCTTGAACCTCCAACCTTGCAGTTCAAACAGCTTTGCAGTCTGACGCATTAACCCACAGAGCCACACCAGGACAGCCTTGGAAACCTGACAGAACAATTCTACTCTGCCCTGCATGGTCGCTGAGTTTGGAATTAACTTCAATTCCAGTGAGTTCAGTGGCAGTGGGTTTAGTGGGTGGGTTTTAGAGCCCCCATTTGAGAATCGAGCTGTTCCATGAAGTTTTCCAGGTTGTAATCTTTAAAGGAGTAGATCACCAAGTCTTTCTTTCACAGAATAATAGCTGGGTAGGTTTGAACTACCAACCTGGATGTTAGTAGTCAAGCACTTTACTTTTGTGACACCAGGGCTCCTTAACTCAACTTTCTTCAGGCATGTTTAGTCCCAACAATAGTCCAGTGGTCCAGCATCATGGGAATTTGCCCAATGAGCAAATACTACAATAAAAATCATCCCCCTAAAAAGAGGACAGGATTCAATGACAATACGGCAGTCAGTGAGGGCAGAAGTTCCCTTAGCTGAGAGAGGAATGTTAGGTGTGCTGTGCTACCTGTGGTGGAGCTGTATAGATTATGATTTCAATATAAATACAAATTCTAAGTCTAAAATATAACATAAATTCTAAGTCTTCTCTTACCTAGCATCCACTACCTAACTTTTCACTTTGCACCAAAGGATGAGAACAAGAGAAATTGTCTGGAGAAGCCTATGGGGGTGGGGAGGAATTCTTTGCAGGAGCAGGAGAAAGCATGAAATTCTGAGTGTAGTGTTAGCAGAATAAAAATCAAAGCATTTTTTTCTCATGAATTCTTACTCTTAACTGTAAAATATTAGGTTATTCTGTGGAGGCAAAAGAAGGAAACCAGAAAAGAATTACTAATCAAACCATGCGACACATTGTCATCCTTTGCAGCTTGAATCCTTTGTGAGCAATTTCTAACACATTATAAGAGAAATAGAATTCAATTGAATTAATTTTTTAAAAAGTGAGAAAACGAGTCCAAATCTGGCTGAAATCCATTATGGATAAGTGCAAAGAGAAGAAGAAAAGCAATATTCAAATGCAGGCGAGAGAATATTTGACTATAGTTAGCAACAAGACAATCTGGGAGTTAGAGATTCTGCACCAGGAGTTTTATCACTAGTACAACTCTGGATGCAGTCAAGTATTTATATTTGTTTATAATTCTCTGAGTGTTGAGAATACATAGTAGATTATTAATGTGAGTTGCCTTGGGGATGAGACTGGGATAAGACTGATACAGGACACAGTACGGTCCAGGTGAGAATGGAGGGAACAGGGGGAGCCCATGCCAGAAAAGGCAAAATGACTGCACATGTATTTAAAAATGTATTCTATGATCTCTTTTAATTGTTACTTTATAGGCTCAATATTGTTTCACATCAGCAGTTTCATGATTCAACTTGAATATCTATGCACACTTATAAAGTTAGAGGAGTTCTAGTGTGGTGCTGTAAGATAAACACTGGACTGCTAACCAGGCGGTCAGCAGTTCAAACCCACCAGCTGCTCCTGGGAAACCCTATCCAGGGTCGTTAAGAGTCAGAACCAACTTGACGGCACTTAACAACAACAACATGAAATTACCACTTTATGTGTGTATATGTATGATAGATTTGAAAGTAAAAAAAATCAAAGGCACTATTTTCATCAAATTTTGTCAATTTCAAAGTGCTTCCCTTAGAGATAAGTTCTCCACTATAAAGCAAAGCTTCTGGTGTGAACAGCCTAACAGAGGATGAGAGGTTGTAGCAAATAAAACTTGTAGGTTCAAAACAAGGGAGCATTGCCTCTACATTGAGATGCAGATAAACTATGCTCAAAAATCACCTGCATATTAGATTATGTAAAATATGCATGTGTTGATCACCTTGTCCTTTTACAAAGTCATTTTAACTTCACCCTCATCGACCCTTCCTCCTCCATTCCTCTGATATTTTGCCAGTACAACATTTAGTAAAAAAATCGTATCCTCCCTAGCTAACCTTTCACCTGCTTTGGCCTGCACCGCCCACCCATAGCCAAGGGCTCTAGTCAGACTCCACAAGAAATACAGAACATATATTTGGAAAACAATGCAGATTTTAAAAGAACATCAACAACAAAATAAAACCTACTCTCTGTTGATAGTTGGTTTTGGTGGGCATTATGCTGCTCATCCCTGTTTCCTAGGCAACCAGCTTCCAAGCCCTCCTGAATTACAGGTCATCCTCTCCACCCACTCTCCATCACAAGCTTGTAGCAACTGAAGGGGCAAAATGCAATTTATAACAGTTACCTCTGGGAATAAATATTCTGTCAGCCACAAGAACATCACTGACACAATGGAAGAACTGGTCCGTCTCCTCAGTGTTGGCAATGATTTCTTATTAGGGTTTTACATACAGTTGATAACACTAACATTAAAAAAATAATAACTTACACAATATCCTACACATTGTTTGGTATTTCATTTGCAGGTAGGATGCACTGTATCTAAACCACCATGATCATCCCTAGACAGTACAGTAAATACTCATAATTTGCATTTCTCAAAACTTCAGCCATTTTTCAGAAACATATCACATTGCTATTGTTTACATGTAACTATCTCTCAAAGAGACACAAAGGTGTAATTATTTTTAAGTAGTAAGTGTGCATTTTCATTATCCTTGGCTCTTTCTGTCCCTGTGCAAGAGCAGTGTGGTGAAGTGATTTAGTATGTGGGCTTTTGAATTAGATCGATTTACTTTCCATTTCTGGTTTGACCACTTCCTTAGATGGGTGACTTTGAACAAATTATCTGACCTCTGTGTTTTTCAGTTTGTCATTAACAAAATGGGGATGCTGATAGAATCCATCTTGAATTCTTGGGAAGAATAAAAGAGATAATGCATATAAAAATTCTTAGCCTAATCTCCGACATATAACCCAGAGATTGCCTATAAACCTGACCATGTCTAAGTAAAATGTCTTGGCCCAACCTTAGCAGAAGATTTACCCATGAATGAAAAATCCATGAAGGGAGTACAGATTATTGGAGAAAGACCTAGGGACTAGGACCTGTCATCGGCTGTCTGACTTTGAGCTCTGAGCTCCACTTTTGTAAATAATTGATTTCTGCCTGCTTTATACTGCTCCTTCCGTAGTTAAGTGCCAGTCAGATTGTGTCCTTACCAAGGAATTCTCTGCCACAACAGGGGAAGAAAGTAATTCAAGCACTACCAGTATAATTGCCTACTAAACATTCTAGGCTCACGTATTCCTGTGCAGACAATAAACAGCTTATTATTTCCAAGTTGAGCAGCGTTTCCTTAGTAAGGTGCTTTTGTGGTTGTTACTATAGTTGAGATTTTCAGAAGTTCCATCGAGCAACTCAAAAACGAAAACATTGAACATTTAATTGGATTGTATTTTAGATGACTTGATGAAATTTTCATTTTAATCTAAAGTTCACATGCATAAAACACAAGCATTTTCATTTATTTCATACATTAGTTGAAAATGGACTGAAATCCATCTGATTTTTATTCCCTTCTTGATAAATCAGAATGACATAACTTTTTTAATAGTTTTACTTTTAAAGAGATCAAGTTATAGAAATGTTTCAGTTAAAATGCAGTGGTATTTGTTGAGAAAGAAAGACATGATAAAATATTGATGCCAAAATAATAAAAGAAATATTTTATTACACTTCACAGATGCAAATAAAGAATATAAA